ATCTCATAAACTATGGAAGCTCATGATATGAACATGGCTCACAACCCAGAGCGTCATTCTGTCGGGAGCGAAAGAAGTGATTGCAACATAAAGTTAGAAAGACAGACAGAAATTTCACACAAAATCGTTTAATGGATTTTTATTTAAATATAGATAAGCTTTCATAAATAAAACTCAAAACAACAGTATCGTCTTGGTTCTGAACTCAGACAGACAGAACACTTTAGACAGGCAACAACTACTTTTACACTCCACTAAAAGGGGCAACAATATTTACTCACATACGCAATATAATCTCATTTCCAATACTCGATGATTTAGACGTATTTGCAACCACTTTTCCACTCTGGCAAAGAGAAAAACAAACACGCAGGAATTCTTGGCAGGAAAACAGATCAGGGTGGGTCACTTCAGATGTTTGTTTGTCTAAGTGCGTAGGGCAAAATACACATGCCCTGGATTAAATAACAAAACTGAACTGGGATGGGGTTTTTTTTGTTGTAATTTTCGTTTTGACATGGCAAACCTTCCTGCCACACATCGCGTCCACTTACAATATTTTCTTTCAATCTCTTGCACATAGTGGTTGAAAAGACTTTTATCTAAATATGGATAGATAAGGATGAATCAAGTAACTTCAGTTCTGGACTCTCAAATCACTGAAAAGACAAACAGCAAATGAAACAAAACACGTTTTGACACTTATACAACAAAATACTTTACAAAGGCAGCAGCTTATAAAAAAGGAGATACTTTCTCTATCTTTTGCTTACTGATAAAGAAAAAAAGTCATCAGAACATTTTCTATTTAGCCATATTTGCAACCGGTTTTCCATACTGATACAATGGCAAAACAAAGAAGATGGATGCTTAGATATGTTTTGTTAAGTGCGTGTTGTAGTTACTGCACAGAGTGCATAATGTCCTGGATCAGAGCAGACAGTCTAACTGAGAAGTCCTCCCGCAAAGATGCTCCTTCCTGCATCGACGAAGAAAGAGGCTGAGACACGGCGGAGGCGCCTCCGACCTCCTCCTCCACGCCGATAAACAGTCTCTCCATCCGGGCCTGCAGCGCCTGACTCTGCAGAGCTGCGCTGTGGCAGAACTGCTCCAAACCGTCTGCGACTTCAGTCTGAGGAGGCCGAGCGGACTCCAGCAGAGCTGCCAGCTGCGCTCTGAAAGCTCCCATCCGGCTCTGCGCCTCCTCCCTCAGCGAACTCACTTCCTGCCCCAGCTTGGAGATCACCGCCTGCCAGACCTCTGAGCCAATCGCCCCCTCTTCAGCATCGCTTTTCTGCTTCAGGTGTTCAATCACACCACTCGCTGAGGTTTGGAAGTCACTGATGAGGCTGGATAGCTGGCTGTTGCTGAGCTCCAGGTTTTGACTAATCCACTGGACAGCTTCTTGGTAGAAAGCAGGACCGGCCTCCGCCTGAGCCGCCGTTTTCTCCAGGCCCTGCAGGTACAGCCTGAGCTGGCTGCACAGGTCCTGGGTGTTGCTGCTCAAGGAGTTCTGCAGCTGCTGGGTGAGCGGACTCAGGCGCTCCTTCATGCTGTTCAGGGTGGCGCTGAGTTGTGCTGGGGAGGGAGACAACCTCTCCCGCAGCTCGGCCAACTCCTGCCGCAGACGGACGCGCAGACGCTCCGACTCTACGGTGAGTTTGCGCTGCATTTCCTGTGCAAGGGGATGCTTCGTGTCATCACTTCCAAGGGTGTAAAGACCACTGCTGTCGATGACGCTCTTGTAGATCCCACTAAGCACAGAAAGAGAAACGGTTCATGTAAACGACTAAAGGAATGAATGAACACACCTAAAAAAAAAAACATCCTTTGAAATAATGTCAGTTAATTTGTATCACTGGGATAAAATATACAAAATTAAAAAAGTAATAGCATCATCTCTTTTTGAAAATGTGAAAGAAAAATGCTTGTAAAACTCTAAATACATCATAAATACACATGCTGGTATATAGTTTACATTATATATAATTATTTATTCATATTCCACTTTGGATCAAACGTATCACAGTGCCTTAAGAAGTTATTCATACCCATTTAACTTATTTTAGACGTCTTTTATTAGGATCTTTTATTAACCCAAATTAATTCAGTATCATAAGAGAAAAGAAAACAGATTCATGTTTTCAAATTTTCTAAATCTAAAAAAAACAAAAAACGTCATATTTCTGCACCCTAAATAATCTAGAAAGAAAATGGCACATCTGCTGACCATTGAAGACACCCTGAAGACGTCCTTCTAAATTGATAAGACAATAATGCAGTGTAACCAAGATACCCACGGTATCACTGGAGGAGCTGCAGAAATCCACAGCTTATGTGGGAGAATATATGTTTACTTCAAAGCCATTTGTCAGTGCCAAATATGTGAAAGAAATTGAACTCTTTTGCCAACATCCAAAATCTTTGTGCTCCTGCAGAACAGTCACCCTGAATATACACCCAGAGTTTCAATGGAAGGACAAAGAACAAATAATATTCATTATTAGAATGGCCTAGTTAAAGTTGACACCAATAAAGTTCTAAAAAAACTGCAATTACAGCAAAAGGTGGTTATATAAGATATTGACTCAAGAGGACTGATCACAAGTGCACACTGCACATTGTTCAGAGGGCATAAATAATTTCACAAGACACTGGAGATTTTTTTTTTTTTATTGTCTTCATCAATAGCTGCTTGTTCTGTTCGGTCAACTTACTGGACGTCTTTTGAGAGGTCTGCCTTGTCAAACACGTGGTTAGCCTTTGAGTCAACCCAGCCTGCCTCCCTGGAGTCACTGTGCAGAGGATGGGCTGCAAACAAGAAACACATTTGTAAGAAAAAAACAAAACAAGAACCATAACCATGACCAAGAAAAGCAAGAGATGTAAAATACTTTTTAAAAAATATACCTAAAGTTGCTGAGAGTGACAGGGTGACGAGCACTAATTCCCAGATCATGTTTATCTCTCTGTAAAAGTGAAATAAGGGAAACTGATAAGAATACCAAAAGACGACAAACACACACATGGAAGCCGTTCTACTTGTTTTTCACATGTCCCTTACTTAGAACAAGAGGAAGATCAGTGCACAACAGAGAAGCAGGTTCTTTATCCAAGGATCAGGGGTCTGTGGACTGGCTTCTCTTCTCTGACTTATAAAGGTCCTTGTTATCAAAGCAGCTACCCAAATCCTGCCTGTGTCAACAGTCAACACGTGGAGGGTCACAGTGATTATCAAACACAATATACACACTCTCACAAACACACTGTGTGAGGTCACAGAGATACCATCTACTGCTCAGTCGTTATTAAAAACTTAATTTCAGAGAATTATTGGCTAAACTCACTTTGGATTATCGTGAGCATTAGTGAGGATGAAGCACTTTTAAAATCACAGATGGTGATACGACTATTTTTAGTAAGAAAGATACTGGATTCCAATATTTGTGCTTTATGATTATTGCGCTGAACAGCAGCTAAAAGGAGAGAAAAAAAACAACTAAAAACAGAGAACCAATTCAAAGAAAAGATTCAAATGTTACCCTTTATTTTTTTCACTGGTGGAGGTTGAAGTTTCAAAGCATTATGCTTTTTGTTTCATGGTTTTTAAGTCGAGCAGCAGTCTGTCTTCTTGAGTTTTGGATCTGCTCAAACAGTTTTCATCTTCATGCCTTGTGTTATCTGCACACCAGAGCAGAATAGGTGAGCATGTTTGTCTCTTTCATTAAAAAGAAGGATTATATTTAATACCTCAGATGAGTGGTTTTGTCACAGCCGACATGGAGATCTGGGTGAAAGTTGAGTCCAGTTCAGTTAGATAAGCTGTAGGTCGTCACTGCGGGGTCAATGTCCATGGCTGTTGTGATGAAACCCCCCATATAGGTTATTCCAGGTATCCAAAGTCTCATATTTATCCCACTACAATAACAGAGTTTAGTAAGACCTTGACTACTGGATGTGAAAACAGGCCTGTTGACTGTTTTCTGCACCTCCAAGTTTTAGATAAAAAAAAATAAAAAAAATGTGCACACAAACGTGGTACGCTGAATGCAAAAGAGAGTGGTCATAAGTAAAATGTTACATAATTACATTATTTAACTCTTGTGTTCAAATAACCAGCCGGCTGACAGTGCTTCATATCAATAAGCAAAGCGTTTTTTGTGTGTGTGTGATTTTACTATGGAGCAAAGGGCAATCCTTTGACACTGATTATTGAACAAACATGAAGATATTAGGGTCAAAGGAACTACTAGCGATGATTAAACTAAACAGTCTATATTGGTAACCAATGGAATATGTATTTGTTTGAACAGTTTTGATTACAGTGCATTAAGGCAGAATTAGTTCACTCACTCAAAGAGTGTTTCTCACAAAATGGACATGTCGGCTATTAGCAACAACTGCTAATAGCCGACATCTTTGGGGCTATCTACAGGCAAACCTAAGTTTCTGAAATGAGTCGTTGGCAAACAACATGTTGCTCAGTTTGAACCGAACACGTATGAACGCTTTTGAAACATATGTAGAACAGAATAAACATCTTTCCTGGATGCAAACATTTGCCATCAACACCCAAATCACACATAGTAGGGTCTTCTATTTTATTGGATAGAAAGTACTCTCTGACTACAGCCACCATGTTGCTTTGGAAAATGCTTTGAAATAAGAACTTGTTGAGAATTGCCCCAATAAATAAACAGGCCCTGAATAAAACTATAGGTTCAACTGAGGTCATGAATAGATCTGAGGGGTCCTTTTGGCAAAATAGTCATCAAGCAAAGGAAAGCAGTGTTCACTCACATAGAGCGCCAACTCAATAATCAGTGTCATGGTAGGATTGAGAAGAACAAATAGAGTAAGGTGATCCTTCAGCAACAGGCAGGTGCTCTTTCTTTCCCCCTGCTGCTTTCCTCTGAGCAGTCGCTTTACTGTCACTGTCACCTAACCTCACTGGCCTTATAAATCATTCAGCTCCCCACTGAAAGCCATGCAGACTAACTGGCCTGGTGCATAATCATTTGTGGAGAACATCGGAGTGCAGAATTTTGTCAATAGACTACCCTCACAGAGTATTACATCTGATTTTGTTTTTTTCTTCAAACGATGGACCGTGGGTGAATCACTTCAAGAGTTTGTGTGTGAAGCAGAGGAGTTCATGGGAAATGTTGGTCAGCAACTCAGTATTTGAAAAAGAAAAAAAAACAACTATGCAAACATGCAGATGCATGTGGTTTGGCATTTTGCAGTGGCACTGAGTGCAATGGCCCAAGAGAGATACATCAGTCAACATAACAAGGAAAATCTCCACTGCCAGCCAGGTAAGCTTTCCCAACTGAATTTTATTATGACTGCAACAGTAAGACAGAGTGACATGTTTTTGCACATATTAGGTTTCTACTGTCCTCCAGCCAGCTTCAGTCCGGTTCCCTGTCCTAGAGGCACATATGGGCCAAATGCTGGAGCTGTGTCTGAAGAAAGCTGCCTGACGTGTCCTCCACAACACTACTGCCCTCGACCAGGCCTGCCGTCCCCCCTGGCCTGTGGTCCTATGGCTGTGCAGCCTTTGTCTGGTCAGGATGTCTGCATCTGCTCAGGAAATGGACAGAGTTTTCAGGTGTTTCTTCCAATGTTCGTTGTTCGGGTGTTTTTACAAGGCATAAAGATCAGCACAGCAATTCCTACAGAGTGAAGAAGCATCCGCTCCAAGTGTGCTTATGGTTTCTTTTTCGTCTTGTTGCTCTTTCCTCACAAATACTGTGAAAGGAGTAGCTTCCTGGCTGTCACTCAGAAATATTAGACGATAAGCAATCTGTAGCTTCAAGCCAAGGGAGTTCCAGATAGTATTACTGTACAGAAGGATCTAGTTTCCCCATGTGGCTGAAGTTGCATAGGTGTTGACCTCTCTTCTCATCAGCTTAGGATCAAGGGAATGAGATTTGGCCCTGGTAGTCTGTGGGAGAACACTTTTGTGTAGAAATATGGCTGCAAAACCTTGAAAATTGAGGACTTGCTGTGTACTTAAAGTGGATCAGAGATTGTAAACATCACTGTTAAATGTGAGAGTTTTCTGACGCAAGATAGAAAACCTTTATAAATCCTTTAAAATCTTTCTCCTCCTTTATTATAACATTTATGATACATAAATAAGCATACAACACTTGCAACCTTTGGCCAGAGATATGATGGAACAAATTAATTTTGTTGTACAAAGGTATAAGTCAGGAGAAGAGTGCAAAAATAATTTCCACAGCAATATTTATGTATTTCCTTTTAATTCACGTACAGCACTTTGAATTGCCTTGTTGCTGAAAATGTGCTATATAATTAAAACAACATGAAAACAGCATTCAATAGAGAAAATACAGAACTACGGCGAGGTTAAAAAACTGAAACAAAGAAAGAGAGAAAGACAGAAACTGGTCTACCGGGGCAGCCAAGATGTGAGCTATGGTAACACTGGAGAAGCAGAAAGAATTTCCTGCTGTGTTCTCAGTCTGACAATCTTCTGTGTTCCCCATGGAGACAAAGCATTGTGTTAGGTTATAGGTTTGAACATGTGTTGCATGCAGTTTGTAGGCAAAGAGTCAAATCCGGTACTCAGAGAGATTGGGCAAATGCTTAGTTGACAGTAGCATCTCAGCAGCACCCCTAAGGAAGTGAAATAGAGCAGAAACCATAAATGCAGAACCTGATAAATAAGGAAAGTTGCTGTAGTTGAAAGTATCATGTTTTTGTTTTCATTAAATCTTTGTCTTCGTCATTTCAACCAATCGGCAGATCGTTTCTGAGACCTTTTTATCTCTCCTTTTATATCCATAGAGAACTGACGGCCGTTGCTTCTGTACAATCGGATACCAGTCCAGCAGTGATGGAGAAGTGTGTGTGCAGCAGCTGTACAGCATTTGCAGAAATGGAAAGTCTCGCACACAATATGGGGACTGCTTGGACCATCACCAGTGGTCTCTTCACTGCAAGGACAAGGTAAATGCTTGCACTTACGATATGGCCCTTCACATACACGAAGGAAGAACTAGGGGAAAGGTCTTTGGTTTATCTTGTTCAAAATGATATGAGACAGGAAACTCATACAGAAGATATGTATGACCTGTTTACAGAATGCGTCGAGTAAGCACACAGTCCACAATCACTGAGGGGAATGAGTACAACCTGGATGTCTTTGCCCTTTACCCCATGAACCTGACAAGCCTCCAAGCTTAATAAACCCAATTAATATTTAACCAGAAGCTGCTTCCCGTGACTTTTGCTCAGCAGTGATTTCACAGTTGTGTTGGTTTAGAGGAATTAATTAGAGAACGTACATGTCCCAAGAGTTCCATTGGCTGTTTTTCTGCAGGTGTGCCAAACACCAGATGACTACCATGGTTATGACAGGGAGCTGGGTCTGTGTGTGTGCAGAGAGCCTCCTGGCAGAGCTGCATGTGGAGGCCTATGCAGGTGGAAGCCAGCAACCCATCTGAAGCTCCAGTGCAGATATGATCAGGATATGGCTCTGACATGGAGCTATGAAAGTCAGGTGGACAACAGAGTAACACTGATAAAATGTACCAGATGACTGAATGTTATCTTATATTTTAAGTATTCAATGTTTTTTTTCCCCACCCAATTGTTACACTCATATTCATGTCGCATTCCTATTGAATAAAACACAATAGACAAATAAGCCTGTTCCGATAATGCATACATGCATGTATTGTCATCTTCATTGTGAAAGTGCAGCCTCATCTCTTGTGTTGCATTGACCTATTAATGGTAAAGACTTGTCATTGTGTGACTGCAGGTGTCAAGCGTCTCGGGCGGTGTGCTGGAAGCGGTTTTTGAAAGGTGGGACTCCCTGGGGACTCTGCAGTGCCGCAGCCATCGCAAACCCTCACGTCCTGTCTACATTGTTCAGACAACAGGTGGAGACGCACTTATCACAGACACGTAAACAATAGGATTTTCCTATCTAGCAAGGCTGATTTCTTTGTGGTTCCCTGTCACACTCATGACCTCCTTTTTCTTCTTCGTCTGTATCACGGCTGCCAGAGGCAGGACTCTTTGGCCTGCTCAGCGGTCTCCCAGAGGAAATCCAGCAACTGTTTCCAGACCGCACACAGAGCTCGGCCGGTTTGTCACTGCCGCACGCCAATCGAAATAGCAATGAACGCACGGAAATTCTCAACTCTTGCAAACCAAATTATTGCGTTATTGATACTGTTGTTCTGCATGACTGATTTACAGACGAAGAGTACGAAGTTTTAGATGAGATCAGCGGTGTGGAGAATATCAGTGATGCAAAAAGAGAACCTCGTTTCAGACAGTGGAGCAAAGACCCGAGTGATGTTGAAGACCAGAGTGTGTCGAGCGTAGCTGGAGTCCTCAACCCGACAACATGTCTCCAACTGGGGGATGTTTTACTGTTCACCGTCAGCACACGCCATTACCCGCTCTACGACATGTAAGTCAGGTGGTGGATTCTTCCAGGTTTGAGTGTTTTGCTACTTTTGTTTTGACATTTTTGTTCATCGTCTCTTGCACTTCTTCCAGCGACAATCTCTACAACACAAACAGCGATTTTGACTGGGGTGCGCTCCGGCTGCTGGAAGAGGAGCTGACCCTTTCCTGGACTCCTCCTACCTTATTTTCGCTGGTGTTTAGCCACCAGGGGGTTTACGTCTTCACGCTTAGCAGCAATCGGCATAAACACATGGTAAACCTCAATTCAAAAATTAAAGCTACTTTGTTACGTCGTAATTTTATTTTGTGAAAAAAAAATCATTATAAAAACATATCATTTCAAAAGCTGATGTATTATTTTTTGCTGTTTTGACTTTTTTTAAAAAAAAATCTCGTTTGTATTTGGATTGAATTGTCTAATGTTGTCATGATCAATACTAAGAACATCACATGAAAAAAGTTAGCAGATGGCTCATGCAATTTGTGACATAAATGGTAAAGCGTCGCTAACTACGGATGCTAATGCCTTTCAGTATGTGCGAGTGATGCCCGCAGGGGGCCAGTGTTATGAGCCTGGACCCTTCTTCCCGACCATTCCTCGACGTCTGACCCAGATGGGAATCAGCAGAAGACGTGATCTGTTGCTTCGACCTGATTGGCTGGTCGCCGGCGGGCTGTTGTTTGGAGCTGTGGTCGTTCTCTGCTTATGCGTCGCATTGCTGGTTCGTCTTTTTTTTTTTTTTTTTTAAGGCGCACAAGCGTTTTAGACGTTCGCTAATCTTATATGGTAACTTTAAAACATTTGTGTTTGTAGATTATGTTCCAGGAATACGGGTGGCCGGAAAAGAAGCCAATCACAACGAGGTATCGCTCGTTGCAGCTGGCCTACCAAATGGATGACTACGCATCAAAAGGCTCAAGGGTTTTCACAGTTAGGAAGACCCATCGGAATCAACAGGCTAGGCTAATGAAGGACTCCATTCAGCCAGGTGGAATACTCCGATTATTTACTCATTCATTAGAAGCCTAGGAGCTAATTTGTTTCCCGACTTACATTCAAATGTGATGGGCAACTTTAGACAAATGCACCTGCAACGTGCACCGACCCCACGTTCTGTCCAAACACCGGGCCTTTGAGGACCCCAGTGACTTCTTACGCAACACCGACACTGACCTTTGGGTGGTGCAGTCATCCAACCAGTTACTGTTAAAAAGACTGACGTCACGAAGCTGCTGGCACGTGTACAGTGACGAACAGCGAAAAGGAAAACAAGCATTTTTATCAATGGGGCCCTTTCTTCCGTTTACTATTGTGCAGCTTTTGATGCCATTACTAGGAAGAACCAAGCAGAACTTTACGTCAGAGTAGATGTTCCAAAACACACACACATGAACAACAGCTTTTAATGAACTTTTAATGCAGCTCATTACAAGGGCCTTTGTAAAAGTATTTGCAGACCTTAAATTTGTCCATGTTATTTAACACACCTGTCAAAACCTTACAGAAACTCAATGAAATAGATCAACATACACCGGTAGTAATGGCGGGGTGACATTTACAGCAAGCTATAATCGAAGAAAGAATTGATGGTATGATTCAGCTAGAGCTATTTCTGAAAGAATGGGAGAAAAATTAATATCTCCCAGTGTCCAAAGTCGGTAAAGACCTACACCAAAAGAGTTTCAGATGTAAATGTGGCAAAAGGTAGTTCAATAAAGTTGTGATATGAGGGGCTAAATACAGGAATTAAGGATTCCACGCATTTCTCCAAACATGTAGTACTTTGTGATTTTCACATCCACTCACAATAAAACAGGTGGAAATACCCTGAAACACTACATTAATTTATGGTGGCAACATCACAAAAACCTTAATTAATACAAATACTTCTCCTGAAAGTTGTAGATGTTCTTCAAAAATAATTTCCTGATGCGATTTGAAATACTTTTATTCCCTCTTTGTTTTATCCCTGTTTCTCCCTGTTTTGTGAAGAGCAGCCTGCCCGGATGTTTTGGATGAGTTCTGGGATTATGAGCACCAGGTGGATTTGGAGGCTTTCAGCAGCAACACTTTCTACAGCCTCCTGCTTAAACAAAGCCTGTCTGTCACTGCGAGGCTGGGGCAGCTCACAACGGAGGTAGAAACTTCCGGATTATTCGCCACGTAAACTGGCAGCACGGGAACCGACGCTGATTCCCTCTTTTATCCTTCGCACACTTAAGCCTGTTGCTTCAGTGAAGCAGAACTGTTCAGGAACACAAAATCCACTTGGGACTTTGTCTCATCAATTTGCCCATCCATGTGTTAAATATATTTCTTTTAGTAACTGGGGATATTGTTGGTGCCTTTTTTGTTTTGTTTTTGTTTTTGTTTTGGAGTTTGATGTGAGAAAAACCTTTACAAAGTAAATCTTCTGTAATTTCTTATGGAATTATTTTATTTATCTATTTTTTTTTAAGCTTAGCCCTGAGGCTGGAGTCTTCTCATAAAAATTAAAGAACATTCTAATGAAGCGCATCTTTACATTCACTTCTTGACTTCTAAATTGATTTCATAAAAGCCCTGAAACATTGTGCACGTCTTCTCTTTCACCGTCTCCTCTCCCTCCTCATGTGTGCTTCACAGATCATTCAGGTTCATTGAAACAGGCTAAGCATCACATACGAAGGTCTCTGTTTTCTTCTGGGCACTTCTCTTTGTCCCGTGTCCTTCCTATTTAATTGGCTGGATGCAGTTTAGAGAACAGATTAATGTTACAGCCCCGAAGAAGTGCAGCAATAGACATGTAAGAAGAGACGGTGCTGCATAAATGCTTATGTCTCCTGAGGTTCGGCGATGTTTGCTGAGGCTGCATGATTGCCGGCTCAGATTACAATAGTTGTATGATGATTTTGTCTCTAATGTGTTTTTGTGTTTGTCCAGGTAAAAGAGATGTATCAGGGAGTCCTTGGGAAACTACAGCTACTCCACCCAGGCATGATTGCCGAGGAGAGGGTGGGGGAAGGGTACGAGAGGATGAGAAAAGAGATGGAGAAAGAAGTGGGGCGACGGAGGGCTTTGGCCTCCCAGCTGCGAACTTTGCTCGACAATCAGCTTGAGGTACTGTACAAGTCTCATTATGGCAGTGCTCTTACATTCTGATCTTTCCCACATATTCTCATGTTGGGATTATACATTTCAATATGTTTTAGTGGGATTACGATTGTGAAGAAATATAATTAATGCACCGTGTTTGCTGCAGCGCCTCCAGATTTAATGTGCACCTCTCAGCTGCAACATTTGCTGCTACGTTAGTATTTTAGGTTCTCTGATGTATTTCGATCTGGACGTTGACTGGGCCATCCACGCAATGAATGTATTTAATACAGTCCATTGTAACTCAGGCTTTATGTTTGGATTCCATATTTAATTTTTCACCAGACATATTGTAGCGTCATCTGACCAGAACGCCATCCCCCACCTGTTTGATTTGACCCGGCATGGTTTTTGACAAACTGCAGAAGTGATTTGTTATGAATTTATTCAGTTTTTGGGGGGAAGGAACCAGACTCAATTGGGCTCCATCTGTTTCAGGTTTTTGATTGTTAAAAGATTCACACTTTACCACTGTTTTTTCCCCCCGTCTTGAATATCTTGAAGATTTTAGTATAAAGGTTTGTCAGATTGATAAATCTAACTAAATATGCTTGTTCCTTGAATTTTGTGGTGCTTCTCTGCCAAATAATCAAGAACAAGGTGCATTTAATAATACATCCTCTCTGACAGTATAACAGGCAGTAGGAAGAAATGCCAAACACTGTAAATCTTGGAAGCAACCAACTAAAATGAACAACCGACCAAAGAGGATAAGTGAAATAGACGTGACTGGTTCCTTCTAGGTTCTGAGACGAGATCAGCAGGCCAAGCAGCGGGTCTACAGTGTATTCACCACTCGATGCAGGGAGTGCACCGGACTGCTGTCCAAGATTTCCAACGGCAATCAGGCCTCTTGTGAGCTTCACCAACAAATGTAAAAGATTTGTCAAGTATGGATCGAAGAGATCTGAAATAAATACTACGTAGTTTTAAATATATTTTTCCACCAATGTTAAGTTTGACCCAAAGGCTGACGTGCCTTGTGGATGAAATGGGGGAGCTGGTGGCAGCAGAGTGCCACCGTCAGGGAGCGTGGGGGCTGTTGGGTGAAGGCACCGGGGCCAAGCTGCTCTGCCCCGACACGGGAACCGTCCTGACCAAAGACGACATCTTTGGTGAGTCACTGAGCCCTGGAAAAGAAGAAGAAAATAAAGATCTTCAGTACTTTCTGAAGTAGTATGATGATACCATGAAGGACTTCTTGAATGTTGGAGGAACAGCACCATCTACTGCTAAAAACCTGTGCTGCAACAAAGAAAACAAAACCTCTTAAAACAAATAATAAAAAAAATTGCAAAAACATATAGCCTCTATCAAGAAGAAAAAATGATTTAAATAAATCCCTTTTTTTATTCTAAAATTCTTTTCATAAGTTAGATTTGTGAATTGGTAGTACTATCAGGATTTTTAGATAAAAATTAAACAAAAAATGTCTAACCTCCGTCTCCTCTCAGGTCCTGACGGGTCTCTGCGTGTCCCTGCTGCGGTTCATTGCGATCCAGTCACCGGGCTCATGAAGCCAAACCCTCAAAGCCACATGTTGCTGAGCAGCGGCCATACCATGGCAGTGCCACCTGATTATTTCATTCACCCTCAGACTGGCAGAGTTTTACCCATCGTTGGCAACGTGGCCTATGATCCTGTCAGTTCCACATTAGTGTTTACTACGGACCTCTGTACAGGTAACACTGCCGATTCCATCCTACCACACATACTGTGATGAAACAAAACGCCATCTTTAAGACGAAGAGAATACTGAACAGAATAGAATAGAAATATTGAGGTGTCACAGCAGCGAGTTAAGGTAAGTGGGACATGCAAACTCACACAAAGGTAAAAATCACAAAAAATAAGAATAATGGACTTTTACAATAAAAACGACGCAGGTATTAAAAGAAATTGCATAGCCAAACTGAAAGTAATGTGCAGCTGAGTAGATTAGTCTTTAGAGAAGGAAAATGTACAAAATGTGACATCAATAAATATGTACTTAGAAGACAACAGACTATTTACAGGAATCGAGGAAGCTGAGCAAACGGGGATGTGTGAGTTACAGCAGAGTTATGAGGGCTTAATGAGTTTGTTTGGAGCAGATATGGCTATAAAATCATAAAAAGTTGCCAAGAGGAAGGATCTGCTGCTGGTAATAAAAATAAACTCAACTGCAATAACAATTATGCATCCTAAAGGTTAATATAAATCCTTTACACTGAGGTGTTTTATAATGAAACAATTACGTACAAATGCAAAATGACTAAATAATTTAAAATATATGACATGTAGAGAAGTAATCAGGTGTTTCTTTCAATTGCCTGACAATAAATCAGACTAAAGTTTCCTGGTTTGGGTCAGAAAAGAATTACCTCAATGATTTGAGCTTACTAAGTACGTAAGTAACTATGTTGATAGATAGCTAAGTAACTTTTTTTTTTTTTTTTTTTTTTTTTTTTTAGTTTTTGAATTTAAAAAACATTGGGAATGTTTAATTTTTTGGTAGATTTCCCTTTTAAA